TCGCTTTACACGCCGGTGTGATGTTCTGCACGGAGATCACGGACGCGCTATGGAAGCGCTATTTGTCTCAGCACCCAGAGAATCTTATTGACGAAGACTCAAGTCTGCTCACCTTTGCGAGGTAGGAATCGAACAATGGCTTTTTCCGACTATATTTTGGAGGCGTGGGCGGGTACACCAACCATTGTTCCTTCCTCATTGGTGCGTCCCTTTCTAAACTTTGGAAGAGCAGATCGAGCAAGAAGCAGCACCAATGAGAAGGGCTCAATGATTAGGTGTCCCCGAACAAACAGGCAGGCGGCGACTTTTTAAAAGGCAGTGGGTACCACTGGTGGAGGCGGGCGGTTGTTGCCAGCGTCATTGGTGGAAAAGCTGCAAGAGAACTTTGGCCGAACCCTTCTTTGCCCTTCCACCAATGACGCTAGCGGCAACTGCTCGATCCAGCCATCTGCCCACTGCCTTTAATCCACATTTCTGATTCTGATTCTCACTGGTTTCAGAGCACAGTCAATTCGTCGAAAACGGCACGACAGCAGTGGCAGTCAAGAGGGTCAGAATCATCAACGACTTGGTCGAATTCTCTCGCACAGGTAGGCGATCAATCTCCCTTTTTCAGAATCTTAACAAGAGATGACTTCAGAAGTACTGGCGGTAGCTTTCGTCTGAATCGTACAGGATCGACGAATCGATCGTTTACTGATTCAAAAACGGACGACGTCTCCTGCTCCCAGTACGACAAGGTTAGTGTACAGTGCGATTATTTGTGCCCCCTTCCCTTAGATTCGCTTTTTTGTTCAGACTTCTTGTCATGCATTGACCCTTGTTCCTTCGTCTTTGATCTCTTGAATACTCCAGACCGCCGCAACACGACCGCTCCCTCCCCCCTTCAGGATCAGCGTCTAACGTTGCCTACTTTTCAAATTCAACTTTCCGGACAAGAATATGCTCGCGATTGTCATGCTGCCTTGGTGATAAACCGAATTTCTTACCCTTCAAATTAAAGCAATCCTAAAGAGCAAGCCGTATACGGCCCTTCGGGTAATACCCGTGGGGGCCGGAGGCGCTTGTTCTGCAACCTTTCCATGGGGAGTTGTTCCTACTTTTGAATGAACTCTGAAAGGACATCTAAGCGGAATTTTTAACGTCACAATTTGAAGCTCGGGTCAAAATCTCAATTTGCTTGCTCGGGTGGGGGTGGGATAAACCCTCTATGGCGAATAGTCGTTAGGCTGCGTTTATACTTTGCGGCAGCGTAGCGTAGCGCTTCCAGCGTACGCCAGCGGCAGTGCCGAAGAGAGGATGCATATCGATCTAGCTTCACCAGCGTCACCAGCGGCACGCTAGCGCACGCTGGCGTAGCGAGGGCACGGGAAGCATAGCTATCGATCTAGCTTCACCAGCGTTTCTCCAGCGTTTTCCCAGCGCTTCCAGCGGCGGGGCTAGAGAGGGGCTAGAGAGCACTGGACGGAGGAGAGTACAAAGTACTCTCCTCCGTTCAGTGCTCTCTAGCCCCTCTCTAGCCTTGCAGCGACGAGGCTAGAGAGGGGCTAGAGAGCACTGAACGGAGGAGAGTACTTTGTACTCTCCTCCGTCCAGTGCTCTCTAGCCCCTCTCTAGCCCCGTCGCTGGAAGCGCTGGGAAAACGCTGGAGAAACGCTGGTGAAGCTAGATCGATAGCTATGGCTGCGTTTATACTTTGCGGCAGCGTAGCGTAGCGTAGCGCAGCGTAGCGTAGCGCTTCCAGCGTACGCCAGCGGCAGTGCCGAAGAGAGGATGCATATCGATCTAGCTTCACCAGCGTCACCAGCGGCACGCTGGCGTACGCTAGCGGCACGCTAGCGTACGCCAGCGTTTCTCCAGCGTTTCACCAGCGTTTTGCTAGCGTTTGCAGCGGCAGGGGAGTAGAGACTATGGGAGAGCTGGAGGGGACAAAACACATCGATTGCCCGTATCTCACTCGCCCTTAGTCTCTACAATGCACATCGCTTCTGCGTCTTCGACGGGCACATAGTCTCTACAATGCACATCGCTTCTGCGTCTTCGACGGGCACATAGTCTCTACAATGCACATCGCTTCTGCGTCTTCGACGGGCACATATTCTCTACAATGCACATCGCTTCTGCGTCTCCGACGGGCACATAGTCTCTACTCCCTGCCGCTGCAAGCGCTAGCAAAACGCTGGTGAAACGCTGGAGAAACGCTAGCGTACGCTAGCGTGCCGCTAGCGTACGCCAGCGTGCCGCTGGTGACGCTGGTGAAGCTAGATCGATATGCATCCTCTCTTCGGCACTGCCGCTGGCGTACGCTGGAAGCGCTACGCTACGCTGCGCTACGCTACGCTACGCTGCCGCAAAGTATAAACGCAGCCTATGCTTCCCGTGCCCTCGCTACGCCAGCGTGCGCTAGCGTGCCGCGTGGTCGTACGGCTAGCGACGCCAGCGTGCCGCTGGTGACGCTGGTGAAGCTAGATCGATATGCATCCTCTCTTCGGCACTGCCGCTGGCGTACGCTGGAAGCGCTACGCTACGCTGCGCTACGCTACGCTACGCTGCCGCAAAGTATAAACGCAGCCTTAGAGTTAATACGAAGACGTGCACTCACAGTGCTCGCTGACAATGGAACGTTAAAACTGCCTTGTGCCGACATTGGTAACGCGGGCGTTTCCGCGCTGAGTGGACCCCACATTCCCTTCAAGCTATATTGGCACTAGCAACCATTGATAAACTGTCCTCACGGGCCATTACTTCCAAAAAACAGCAAACGTTGACTACCCAAATCTTGTTTGGGAGACTCCCGTAGCAGCACTGGTACACATAGTAGCATACCGAAGAACATTCAATGATTGATCATGATTGTCTCCCTCCTCGAGCAGTCAAGGGAAAGCATTTGATGGCAATTCCATAGTAAGATGACAAAAAGTGACGCGTGCTCAATGAGAAAAGCGCAAAAGTAGGTCAGATTCTGCCCTTACGATCAACAAGTAGACATTACGCATTTTTGGAAAGTGTTATTAACGCCAACGGCAGATTACTTTTGGACAGACAATTAGTTCAGACGTCATTTTAAGAGGTCAATTGGTGCATTGGTGCCTCAGGGGCCGTGTCCAGTAAATGAATACGGGATCCTGTAAGAGAGTAAAGGGAGTAAGAGTAAATGACCGGAGTCGCTGCCCATCCATTCTGAGCAGCGTGAAAATGCACTTTTTTTTGTGCATAACACTTGAAGTTGGGAAAACCAACCAACAGGGGTTCCAAGGTGTAGTTGAGCATATCCGAGCCGTGGCTGGAGTGGCAGAAGAGACTTCACCAGCGGGATCAATCGCACCAGGACCCGACTCGTTTAATATGGCAATGCGTGTCAAACTTCTAGCTAGAAAATAGTGGCCAGAACGCGCGATACTGCACTTCGGATGACCATGGACTTGAGCGCAGGGCACGCTATCGTTTGTGATCATTACAACGGGGAGGTCGTATTTAACCGCGAGGGAGTGGGGGATCGTATTTGGTCTGGCGAAAATGTTTTCTTTGGTAAGTTGCTTTCACATTTTTTGTACGATGGCTAGGGGGGGGGCGTATATTTGCCGTTGTTGAGAAAAGGGACCCTAAAGATCTAATGCTACTAACAATTTTGCGATTGTTGAAAATGATAGTAAAATCCTAACGACCTCTCCTCTCCCCGCTCGACAGAAAATTCTTTGGCTGAAAAACTGGAAATTTTTCAGGAAAAAATGGAAAAAGTGGTAGGTGGTTGGGATAATCTAGGATGTAGAAAGTAGCATGAGGTAGGGCGTCCGTATTTAAGATTAGAATTTAAGGGGCCATATTTCTTAGGGAAATGATCACATAACACTCACCTTACAGCGGATCTGGATTCAATTCTGTTTACTCTTTGTTTATCGATTGATGCAATTTTGTTTATCGATTTGTACAATTTTGTTCATCGATTAGTTGATTGACATTGAGTTTGACGATTACTTTTCATATTAATTTGCCTGTCACCTACTCACTCACAGATTTTGTTTGTCACAAATGTGTCGTGCTTCACTCACCCACAACCCACTCTATTTCAGCCATTCTAAGGTTAAACCTCGCCGTACCGTCGTCACTATAACGAGTCCGAGTACCGAAGTGACAGAGCCAAACGGTGGCGATACAATTCAAGAGGCTAGCAAACGTGAAGGTGTTCCGTTAGTCGTGTGATCTCGTCCAGATTGCCCACCAATTGTTTTTCTCACTCTATTACGACTGCCTCAGATATATGATCTATTTCTCCCTATATTAGGTGTTTGTACGAATTACTCCTCCCTCTTTTGTACGGGTTTGTCTTGTTCCTTTACTAAATTCTTGAATAGGGTCACATTTTGATGTTGAGATAATCCCTCATGTTCGGACTGTATTTTCGGACTAATAGCGCCCCAGTCTCACTTTGATCGTAAGCTCAAGATACCGTCTCCTGGTCTTGTTCGATAGTTCTCCATACTCCATGTTCGCCTTATATCTAGTATTGATTCGATCTCTAAACTTCCCAAATTGTCCCTTAAACTGAGCGGTCTATCCTTTTCCGGTTTCCTATTTTTCAAAAGTCGAATTCGTAATGAGTTCGTTTCGGTTGTTTCTGGACGAATTGCTATACCCTCGAGTGCTGGGCAAGAGATCCGAGTTACTACGAGCCGATGTGACAAGTCGCGTTGCGTGCGCGGCATTCGCACCACGACCTGTTCTGTTCGGCAAAAAGAGCTGCAGTGGCAAGTACACTCTTGTTCGCTGCGGATGCTGGGGTGTACCAAGGGCTGGATTTGGAGCGGCGCCAGCT